TCAGGACACAGCTAAGCTTAGGGTGTTGTGAACAGGTAGGAATGGGAGTATGGTGAGCAGAGGGCAGGAGGAGAATTATGTGGACTAGAGCTACATTTGATATAAGGGCATTCTGCATGTGACATGTAAAGTTGGAGTAGCCCAGAACTTTTGCATGAAAAGGACTGCGTACAAGGCAATTTACATTTATTATTTTAGTGTTAAACGCTATATACACTTTAATGTGTACAATGCCCCAAAAGGGAATTTAAACTTAAGTAAACATTTAATTTCACAAATCTACTTAGAGAGTTCTAGGGCAGAGACAGTGCTTTCTTCTCTTAGAACCATGACTTGCTACATCTCTCATAGCCGTGCTTCAAGCCTTCTGGAACTGGCTTCTCTACAGATGGCAGCCCGGCACAAAGTTATGACATCCACGTCAGGCAGATGCAGAAATCATTCCGGCTTAATAGCCTTCTCCTCACAGGAGATGGTACCACTGATAACAACTCTGTAGGCGTAGCTCTTGGGAGCCTAATGAGATGTAAAAAATCGTTTTTGCACTCAGAGAAGTGCCCGCAAATCTGGCTTTCTATGAGCTATTCACATGCTATTTATCAGATGAAATGCAATTCATCAATCAGAGGTCATTTTTACCATAAACTGTATTGCCTAGCAACAATGTTCACACTTTTATCTTTATTTAGCTGTCCAGGGATCAGATTTAATTATCTCAAGGTCAAATTTGTTAAACAGAAGGAGAAAACATATTTGTAAGCAGTTTTGGCGCATAACTCAGGTTCTTCTAATGAAGAATCTGATTCCTCAGAACGCTGTGATGGCTTGCCCCAGTGTTCTCAACAAGAAAAATGTGGGAGAGCATTCACTTAGGTATACCTGAGCTTAGCATGTCTGGCTTTCCATTGCACTACATCAAGAAGGAAATTTTTGGAATGATTCTTTTAGTCTTTCCTGCAGGGAAAATAATTCTACATTTTTAAAGAAAAACATTACTTACTAATATTTTAAAAGTATTTTTTGTTGGTACATGTTTGCAGGCCATAATGATTACATTCCTCATGGGGAGTTGGTATGTACATAACATTTTAAATTTTTCAACCCCTTTTCTCCTGCATCTCTTGTTCTTCCATTTTGCAAAAACTCTATCTCCATATTTCCTGATATCTATGTATTATTTTTCTCTTTTTATAGTTCAAGTTTCTCATATAGACACTATATGATACTTAATCCTGTGTGTGATTTATTTCACTTAACATTATGGTATCAAGGTACATCCATTTTCCTACAAATGACAAAAATGTCATCCTTCTTATGACTGAGTAGTACTTATTGTATGCAGTGGCCCCATCTTCTTGTTTGTTCATCTGCTGATGGGTGTGTAGGTCACCTCCGTGACTTAGCTAATATCAGTTGGGTATGAATGTATCATTGTTATATGGTGTATTTGGCTGTTTGGGGAAGATACCTAGAAGGGAAGATAGCTGGGTGAATGGATTTTTCTATTTTTAGTTTTTTACTGATATGCACTGTGGTTGTAATAGTTACACTCCCATCAAAACTGTAGAAGAGGGTCTGGGCATGGTGGTGCACACCTGTAATCCCAGCACTGGGAGGCCAGAAACATTAAGATCACTATGAGTCTGGGCAGCATAGGGAGACCCTGTACCAAATACATTTAAAATAAAATGTAGAAGAGTTCCTTTTAGTCCAGAGCCACACATTATCATTTTTTGTAGTACTGGCAACACTTATTCAATATGATCCTTAAAGAAAAGTAATTTCATCAAACATGATGATGCATGCCTATAATCCCAACACTCAGGAAGCTGAGGCAAAAGGGTTGCCTCAAGGCTGAGCCTAGATTGGGCTACATAGTGAGTTCACAGCAGTCTGAACAACAGAGAGAGACTGTATGTCAAATAACAAAAAAGAAAGGAAGAAAAAGAAAAGGAAAAAATCTCAAAGTATTTTTTTAATTCTAACTTGAGGTAACAGAAAATAGATCAAAGCATCCACGGACTGTGGGCTGTGGGCAGATCATAAAAAGCACTGCCACTGTGTGCCTAAGGAGAGTCACATAGAGAGAAAACATTCTCTTAGGCTTTCACAGAGAGCAAATTGGTCAAGCAATGGACGTGACTCATCCGCATGGCTGACACTGACAAAGGTTCTACAAACTGAGGTACAGGGTTTCAGGCTAAATCCTGAGGGGACTTGACTGAGCTTGGCAGATACAAAACTTACATTTCTTATTATTTTGGTCTTGCTTTATCTTGTTCTTAACCATCCAGCAGAAAAGTATAAAAACGAGGTATAAAAAGTAAAGCCATATTAATATGCTGAGCTGTAAGAGGCTCAAGTCAACAACTTCTGACATTGCCAGTCCTACGGATAACCCACAACTATTATGAACTACTGAACTATATGACAATACTAAACAAAAAAAGGGGGGATACAAATGAATGACCATTTTGTATCTGTATATACAAAACAGTTAAGATGGATATACAGTTACTTTCTCTTAATTCAATGAGAAAAAAGGTTTGTGCAAATAGTGTTTGGACAGGATATCATGTCTGTGTCTTGTACTATGAATAACCACTATGAAGACAACAATACACAATGTATTAAGTATTGAAACTGTCCTACTAATTGGTTTTGAATCTGTCTCATTGCTATTTGTTTCTCAATAACATTAACTTAAAAAAAGAAAAGAAAAAGCACTGCCAGTGCTCTCCGGGGTGGCACAAAGGGCAACAGCATGCAAGACATATGTAAAAATCATACATCTCAAGGGCTGTAAGTGCATGTGATGGTAAGTTCCTTTCGGAAAAAAAAAATGTATATTTTAAAATGTTTTTTACTCTTTTTAAAGGAGAGTTCAAATTAGAATTAAAGCAGAAAAAATTACAAGTAATACAGATTTTCACTTAACAAGTAATATGAATTTCACAGACTATATTTGTATATTAATGGCTTCAGTAAGGTAACAGAAATGAAAAAGTTTTCATTGATACTAACTAGAATGTTTTATTAAAAAATATAATTTGCCTTTAATACCATCTTAGCTTTTCCCAGCTGGCTGGTATTGAATTTCTGCTATCATAAGAAAGAGATCAATCATGTTCTTGTTTATCTTTTATAATTTCTAAAAAATAACTTCATTTTTTAGTATAAGTGGCTTGATTCTATGTAATAAAAAGCAGCCGCAACAGCCTCAATCTTGAAATATCCTTCACTTCTAATAGCTTGGCTCTTTTAATTTCCTGTTTGTTGTTTATTAGCAAACTCACCACAGTCTTCTGTCCATTCTTTCTTCTCTCACAACAGTGTAGTCCAAGGGTTTTTAATCTTAATCTAAACAAACTGCAATTCTCCAAGTGGTATTTCTCTATCATGTGTATCAAGTAGCTCAAGCATTTGTTTTCTAGCAGTTTTCAGTGTACTCTCAAAAGCCAAAATAGAAAATAAGAAGAAGAAAAAAATTGATGACCTTTAATTGATTTAAATTTAGAATTTGCAACAAAAGTTGTCTGGGGTTCTCTTTTCAAGGTACACTAGCAAATCACCTCACATATATTAAAACACCTTCTGCTTGGGGAGTTTTCCTATTGCATGGCTGTAGGCATTACCCAGGAAATTGAGCAGGATGATAAAAAATGAATACATAGAAAACAGTGAGGGGATTTGACGGACCTTAGCAGATACAAAAGTTACATATCTTGTTATATAGGTCTTGCTTTATCTTGGTCTTAAACATCCAGCAGACAAGTATAAAAACGAAGTTTAAAAAGTAAATCCACATTAATATGCTGGAGCTGTAAAGGTTCAAGTCAACAACTTCTGACATTGCCAGTCTTATGGAAAACCCACTACTATTGTGGACTATATTGGAATATTTTGCTGAATTCACACACCTACAATATTTAAATGACAATGGAATACCCTTCTCTGACGAAACTAAACAAAATAGGGGATACAAATGAGCGATCATTTGTATCTGTATATTCAAGACAGTTAAGATAGATATACAGCTGCATTCTCTTAATTCAATGAATAGAGAGATTTATTCTGATTGTGTTTGTGGACAGGATATCAGGTCTGCATCTTGCACAATGAATAACCACTAAGACAACAATATGCAATGTATTATTGAAACTGTGCTAGTAATCAGTTTTGAAACTGTCTCCTTGCTCCTCGTTTCTCAATAAAATTATTTTTTTTAAAAAAGAAAGAAAACACAGGTTTATAATGCTCATCTGGGAGGCCAAATATGTTATTTACAATGTAAATGGGGACTCCAAAGAGTGTATATCTAATAAGTAGATGGCACGATATAATTATTTATATTATGAAGAAAATATAATTAAAATGTGGAGTTTAGCACTACATTAGCATCATACTTCTGTTTCCACTTATATATATTGTGATGTGTAAGTACAGATCAAAATATGCAAGAATATTATAAAGTAAAAGACATTGTTTGTTACTATAAAAATCACTCCTCTACAATGAGTTTCTGAGATACTATAGTTTGTTTAGTATTTTGAAATGGAAGCATTTCTAGCAGTTTTGTTCATTTGGGTCTAGTTGTGACATCAATTTGCATGTTTACCAAATGGTTACCGAATAACACATGGCCAAGAAAACTAAGCTTTTGAAAAAGCTTATTAATATTTGTAGCCCTGAACTGAACTCAAAGCTACAAATGAGCTTTTGCAAAAGAGCCTTAGTTCTTAGCATCTCATGATAAATGTTGGCCAATTTCTTTAGCCATCTGCAAATAAAGGTGTTTTAGACAATGACGACACCAAGACAGTATAAATTCATATGCCTATGTACGGTTTTTTTAATACATAACATAGTTATGATACACTAAAAATCATAAAGAATATCTTTTTTTCACAAATGATATTCTTAAAAGGAAGATTTGTTCTGATTTGCTAGTAAACTTAAAGATGATGTAGGTTGCACTGATTATTGGTTATCTCTTACAGAGACTCACCTTGAGGCATGTGAACAGTAACCAGTGTCTTGATGAACCCTCTGAAGAAGACAAAATGGTGCCCACCATGCAGGACTGCAGTGGGAGCAGATCCCAACAGTGGCTGCTGAGGAACATGACCCTGGGTGCATGAGGACCCTTGGCCCCAACCCATGAGTGTCTGCGCTTTTATTTTTCCATTATTTCCATAAGGAGAAAATATTAACTTTGCTGAATTGAAAGTTTTAAAATTCCTTTTAGTATTCTAAAACCCAGTTGTTTGTAATTCATTTATAGAAATGTTTGATTATTTCCCTACTAAAATTTGTATCTGATTCAAGAAGCACATTAAAAAACATGAATAATAACAAATTGTTACTAAACATTGGAATAACTTGGGAAACAAATTATTTGCTTTGGACAGTTTTTATTGCCCTGTCACAGGGTTAGTTGTGTGGAGGTTTTTTTCTTTTTTGATTGTCACAGTGATTGAAAAGAAATAATGTAAATGCCTTATGAAATACCTTCATTATGAGATATCATTCACTTTAGAAGTCACTCTACTGGAACTTGATGGAAACATGTTGAATTTCAATGTCAACAACAGGACTACATATTAAATTATGAGCATTGAACTCATTGTACAAAATGTTAGTTTCCAAATTTTTTACCAGGAAAAAAAATGGATAGTGAATTCCTAGAGTCCTTACAAAAAGCATCATGTTTAAACAAGGAAAGAAAAGTCAAAATTCTATTTAAATAGGAAAAAATTATATATGTGTGGAAGGTAACAGGTTGAAGCAAAATCAAAATAAGTATTATAAGAGATAGTGTAGCTGTATTACTGTCATTCTTGAGACAAGGTAAACACAATCCTGCTGCCAGAGTTGAAATCACAGACTCAGCCTTCTCTTCTTTCCATAAACCATGCCATCTTTCGTCTACTTGTTCTAAACACCATGGATTGTTACCAATACTGTATGGAACAGAGGTAAGGGTAAACGTTTAGCCTAATGTTCAATCCTTTTGCACTTAAAGATTATAGCTAATTCATTGTTTCCATGTTAATTTTGTATTAAATATATTGCAATCAGATTATCATTGCTATGCTATAATGTCATTCTATAATTTTATCACTAAGTAAATATGTATTCTAACTAAACCGCTAAATATTATTTGCCATAAGTTATGGCCCAAAGAATGCAGGTATGACTAGGCTATTTTTACATGTTCTTTCCATCTGAAATGCTTAGTGTTCAAATTACATGAGCAGTTAGTATGAAAATCTATAAATGAGATTTTACTTATTTTTTGTATTTGACACCATAAATGCCCATAAAAATGGATCTACTTATGAGTTTTCATTATAGATGTATACACAATAGCCAGAGAAACTGGAAATGTGTAACAACATGGAAAAATATGTCTTCTGAAGCAAAAAAAAAAAATATGTTCGTTGCCCCCACTTTTACTTGTAAAGCTCATCTATATAGAATGCATTAATCAACTCTGTCCCTGTCTGTGTCTCAGTCTTTCTCTCCCACTCTCTCTCACCCAGCATACACACACACACACACACACACACACACACACACACACACACACACGGCCCTTTACAGTTAAGAGGACATTTTCCAAAGTCTAATCTAGATTTTTCTCAGTTAGCTACCATTTCATTTCTTTAAATTTATATTGATACAACTCTAAAAAAGAATTTTCCAACCTGAAAAATTTCAGATTTACTCCTGGAAATGTAGACATGCCCCAACTCCAAGGTCGCAGAATTCTTAAAACTCCGAAACTGTTATGTAAAGTTTTAAAGGTAGGAGCTTGTACTTTTCTGAAGATAGACTCTGTAGCCTATAGCAACCTTAGAATGGAAGGTGAGATTCCCATGAGGTAGTGAAGCCTCGCCTTTAATTGATCATGCCCTCTCAGGTTAGTGCAGGCTTCATAACAATGCTATTTTCCTTTTTCTATACTCTTTTTCTCCTCCACTTTCTTCTCATTTTATCTAAAAAAACAGTAAAATATTCATATGCTGTATAAAAAGCTTAAGCTATGTAGGATTCTTTTAAATATTAGGTTCCACTTATTTTTGTCAATTGAAATGCATATATTATCTAGAAAATGGTGAATGATGAATTTTCTAAAATATAGCTACTTCATGGAAACTGATTGGATGTATTTTACAGCATTTTAGATAATTGAGTGTATTTGTGGGCATTGTGAAAAATGTAACACTGCAGGAGTTTTATGCCGGGAAAAATTTTCAGAGATGCTTCAACTGCTTAGATACACGCCATCATAGGTCTAACAGATTTTAAAAATGATAGAAAATATTATAAAACACCCAAGCCCTGGAATCAATGATAACCATTGCATTTTTTTTCAAAAATTTTTCAGTACTGAGAATGAAAAGCATGGTGAAATTCATAGTGCGTTCATCTTACGCACCACTTATCTATGGAGCTGGCCTGAGAAATATTTTAAATTGTTTCACAGCATCCTCTTCTGTGGTCCTTCTCATCTGAGCTAAAGCAACTTCAGCCTTCCAGATACTCAAGGGAGGTGAAAAATCTGAAGTCACTTGTGGCCATTCTCTGTCTCCAACTCTCTCTCTCTCTCTCTCTCTCTCTCTCTCTCTCTCTCTCTCTCTCTCATAACTTCTTTCAAATATAGCCACAAGCTAGCTGTCTGCTGCCACATCCACAGTGTCTTTACCTCTTTACTTGGAAAATGTTTATGCTTTGGTGACCAGCTTTTCCTCAGCCTTATCTCTTTTTCTCATGATAACAGCCATAGGATTACAGCAATTATGACTTTCATGGTGACATTTCACATGCACAGAACCTTCCAGTGGCTTTTGATTTGCCTTCAATGTTATTGGAAGTCCTTTGTGATGTCACCCCTCACCGTGCACTTTCCCCTCTCCATTCTATACACACACACATACACACACACACACACACACACACACACACACACACACACACACACAGAGAGCTCACTGCACTTCCTATCTCTTACCAGTCCACACTTTAACTTGACTCCCAAGCAGGTTTCTGTCTGAACCTGTGGCTCCCTCTGCCCCACAGACCTCTCTCACTCACTGTCTTTGGTTTTATGCAAACTGTCTCCACAGTCAGGCAAATCATTGTTCCTTGTTGTCCTGGTCTCCTGAGCTTCTGACAAACTATACTTTTGCTTCTTCATCACAGCATGTACTTCCACCTCCATGAGGCCCATGAACCGATCATATACTCTAGATCTATTATTTTTATTTTTATGGTTATTGCATTTTTCTTTTGTTTAACATCCCTGGAGGATGAAACCCAGTGCTTCAGGCATGCTGACTAACTGCTCTACCATTGAACTGTACCTGCTGCCCTATAAATCTTTTCTAAAGCCAGGGTCTCTGTCAGTTTGATTTACTGGGTATGCTCAACATCTAGTATAGTTTTGGGCATATCGAAAGTATTCTTTAAAGATTTCTTGAATTAGTTAATTGAAAAGTGTGTGTTAAAGTTGCTAAGTGCTACGGTATTGTATTTTTTTTGTATTTTCAATTTTAGAGTCCAGTAATATATTTATGTAGAATTTGCATAACTTGTCTCCAAATGATAATTTTCTTCCTAACATCCTTCATATTAAAATATGAACTATATATTATTTTATATTGTAAAATAACTTGCCTTATTAAAATGAAATATGACATTTTATGAAAATGCTGCTACCTTATATAAGTTGCTTAATTAAGCTAAAACTAATTTTAAATTTAATTTTCTGGTTATATTTAATGGGTCACCTAAACTTATAAGATTTTATTAATGGGGAATATATATGTACATTCTTTTTAAAAACTGTATTTTCATGGTTTCATACCTACTAAATTTATTTCCTAAGAAGGTCTATGAACAAAGGATAATTTTAAAAACTATAAAAAGCTTCATAAATGATCCATGGTTAGTTTTTTGTTTGTATGTAATCAGTCTGAGACCCAGATACATAATGTAGCTTGCCCAGGGCTCATAACAGCTACAAGAAGTTTTTCCAGCACTCTTCATTATTAATATAAACCAATGTCATTGCTCAAAAACGTTACAGGTAGGGCAAAGTAAAGAGGAAAAAAAAATCTTCAAAACTTTTGTTTTTAGAACATTGATTATTTAGAAATATTTAAATTTTTGCTATCTTTCATGCTTAAATAAAATTAGCTCTATAAACAATAATATCTGCAGAAAAAGCAAAGAGATTACCTGAAAACAGCATGATTATTGCACAATGAAATAGCCTAGCATCACTCGGCAAACAGAGTGGCAGGGAAATAAAGTCTCTTTGGAGCAACTTGTAGAAGAGTCTCTTCCATTTACTTTATAATTATATTGAAGTTAAAAAGAAGGTTGGCCTACAAGTTGCACAGAGATTTAGACCATATATTACTGTGAACGTTGGCTGTTTTCTATGTTGTGCAGTTTTAAAGGCTGCAGGGGAAGGAACAAATATTTCTAACCTTCCCAGCATAACTCTATAATGAAACTAACTCATAACTTGATGCTGCATTGGTGCTTAGAATCATCCTAATAAATATAAGGGGGGGGGAAGGGAGAGGAAAATAAATTCCAACAATCAAATAACAGGATCATTTATTTTTAATTTGATGGGAAATTAGGACCATAGTATGAGTTGCTTTATTAAACCTCAGAATATCTTCCCATACCCATGTTTTTTTTTTTTTTTTTTTTACTATTTGCAAAATAATGATCATATATAATCAAAACCCTCACATGATGCTAACTCCAGGGTCAGAGGAGCAAAATTTGTGTGTCATCAAGCTAAAAAGTATGGTGATTTCACAAATTTGAGAAATACAAGACCCTAATGGATGAGTCACCACCCCCAAAACGTCACTGTGCTCAATTGATAATTTCAAGTCTTGTATAACTTTTCAGCTGTTGGGCAGTACATATTCAACTGTCTTAAGGCAGCTTGTGTTTCAGAATTTGGTCACTGCCCAGCTTTCTCTTGAATATGTCAAAATGTGGAAAAGATTGGCCATTTTTCTGTATAGTACAGGATGTGTCTGATTTGACTCCACCTTGTTCAAACTGCTAATAACTGTAAGCTGTTGTATGAATTTAAGGTGTTGAATGAACACCAGCAATGTGTTTTAAATACTTTGTGTAAATTTGTGCCCAGCTTTTATTTTATATTGTTCAATAAATTCTAAAGAAAATTTACATTGTATGTGCTTTTAAAATCTTTCTGAGGGGCCAGCCAAATAGCTCAGCATACTAAAGCACCTGCAAACAGGCACAGGGGTGAGGGTTTCAATCCCCAGGCCTGCCATGCCAGCCCCGCGCTGGGGCCACGCTGAGACAGCAATTGAGACTGGGCATGGTGGCGCGCGCCTGTAATCCCAGCTCTTGGGAGGCTGTAAATAGGCAGTTTACTACTAGACCGATCTAGTAGTGAGACCCAAAACACCCTGTAGACCTTTCACTAAAATACAAAAAATAAAAATAAAAATAACAAATCTTTCTGACATAGTGGTATTGCAGGGCAGTATTTAGTTAATTATCTTTTAAAACAAAGGCTATTTCTGTGGTACTATATCATCAGTGTATAGTTATCATTTTCCTTTTATAGTTATCATTTTCCTTTTACTTTAAGGTCATTTTTAAATGACTTAGGAAATGGGAAATTAGATGATTAGGACTATTTCTATTTTTCAAACTTTAATTTTCATTTGCATTCAATTGGTAAAAATGAATATGATCTGCTGCTTGATTCTAATTGTACTTTCAGTTGAAAATTAGCACAAAGGAAAAGAAGCTGATGGACAAAACTTTTTTAAGGGAAACACTTTTTTATGTAGTCATGGCTAAAGATAAATAATTTCAAAAATGTTTTAAATATCTGACACACAATTTTTTAACATTTAGAAAAATAGCTTTGCATAAAGAAGTAAATGCTTTAAGTAACATAAGCACTAAGTGGTATAATTGTTCTTTTGCTGTAAATTTAAATATTTATACAGTTTTGTAGAATTAAAATATTCCAATATAGTTTTTCATTGTATATGTTCTTTTTGAAAAAAATTATCATTTCAAATAGATAAATAACTTCTGGGGGCCAGGGAGATGGCTCAGTGGAATAAAGCGCTTCCTTGGCAAGCACAAGGGCCTGAGCTCAATCCCCGGTTCCACCAAAAATAAATAAATAATAATTAACTTCAGTATTTCACATTCATGTTCCATGTTATAGATTATTTAAATAATTAAGTGCCTATAAATTTATCTTAAAATCAAGAAAATCTTCAGATCTCATTATAGTTAACCAAAAACATAAAAATAGAAGTATTAATACATGTACAATTGTACAATATTTATTATTTTTTAAATTTATGATTTGAGACTGATTTTTTTTCTTTTTTAATGGAACCAGGGATTGAACTCAGGCCCATGCCCTTGCCAGGCAAGCACTTGTTCTACTGAGCTATCTCCCCAGCCCCTATTTTTCTTTAAAGAAAATGACAGGAAAAGTAAAGTTAGAGTACATCCTATTGTATGGTGAAAATCATTTTTTAAGTATATTATAGTTCAAGCCCAATGTCTTGATCTCAAAATAAAGTCTCCCGGGGTTAGTGGTGGATATAGCCCTTTCCATGGCACTGTCATTTTTGTTTAAACCCTGCAGACCCAGCCATTGTAGAATTCAAGAAAGAAAAATCACTTAATTTGCTAAGTTAGAAGACAGAAGAAAGAAAACAAGCAGGGGAAAAAAAAGGGAGCATTAAGGAAGGAATGAAGGTTAAAAAAAAAGGACTTGATATTTTACATTGGCATAATTTTATGTAAATAAAATGTATGCAAAAATGTCCTCCATATTAGGTTTGTGTGGCATAAAGTTTCATTAATTTACAAACATCATGAGTACCACATTGATTTTCCCAAATTTCCCTCTCGTTATCAGCAAGTGTAAAGATTATTGTCTAGGTTCTGTGTTTTACACTCAGAATCTCCACTGATGTTTTCAAAAACCAGATGCGGTTCCATCTACCCCACTCTGCCACTCTTTCTTGTGTTATTCTTGTCTCTGAACTCAACCCCACATTTTTAGTTCTAACCAAGTACTTACTTTAGCCTAATAAAGCATCCTCACACACCTAAAGTTTTGGCAGGTCCGTAACTTCTTCTATTCTTTTTTCTTCAATACTTCACAAAAATAAACCTAATGTATGTTCAGAGTCTGTATTTTCCTTCTTGTAAGCAAGGAAATGAAGAGGTGACTTCTTTGTTGACTTATTCTTTTCTAGTAGAAATTATCTTTGCTGTTTGACATATGATAGAGAATATTAGTTAACAGTCTCTGCCTCTATTATCAGAAAGAGTAGATAAAAGTTAATTTCTTTTGCAGAAATCTCTCCATCAGTCTGTGAAGATGTGTAAAATAGACAAATATACAAACGTCAAAGCAAATTTTTTTACAACATGAAACAAATGAACTTGATACAACAAAGGCCCTTCATCTACCACCTGACACCTTACATAAGGTAGAGATATGAAATCAGCACTATTGAAAAAAAACCCAGGCCAGAACTGCGAATAGCCATCATTAGGATTAATGAGACCTGTGCTTTCAGAGCCTGGATTTGCAACTTTATTTCTCTGTATGAACATGTTATTTTGTTTCTTTAAATTATTAAATTGAATATACAGAAGCTGTCCTAATTATCTTCTCAATGCTGGGACAAAATACCCGACACCCACAAGTTAATGGAGGAAAGCTTTATTTTGGCTGGCAGTTTGTGGAGGCTTCAGTTCACAGTCAACTGGCTCTAAGGCAGTCTGACATGCCAGGGGAGCATATGGAGGGGAAATGGTTCATATCCTCGAGGCAGCTCGAACTTTTTATTTTTTTCCCTTTTATTCCAATCCAAGCTGCAAGTCTATTGGTTGGTGCCACTAGCACCTCAGTTGGGTCTTCCTTTCTCAGTAAATCTGTTAGCTACACGCTGTACTATGTTAAACCAATCAGCAGACTAATCCAATAGCGCATGACCATGATACCGTTCCTCACCAAAGTCCTACCAATGAGTGCCTGGAGTTTTGTTTCTCTACTTATTTTTTTGGTGGGGGTGCTACATAGAAGCTATAACAGAGCACTTCAACTTTTTAATTTACCTATATGGAACAAAGTGAATAGTCAATCTATTTTTCTCATATAGTGAGCTCTTTAAAATACTGGCTTCCTTGACCCAATAGAGACATTTCTGCAGATTTCTATCTTTTTCCTTAGGTTTCTTCCCAGCTTAGTCTTTTTAAATCTCACTTTCTTTTTCTGTCTGCCAGTATCCCTGAATATTGGATACTTCCAAATGCAGCCTTCGTTCTCTTCTCCGTTTGCCTTCCTATCTATGTGATCTCATGTCGAACATAGCTTTTAATACCACTGACATGCTCTCACCAAATTGTCCTGGTCCAAAGTATTTGTATTCAACTATTTGACATCTTCACTTGCATGCAAAAAAATCTGAATTTCAATATGCCAGAAAAATGAAATATGTGCCTTTTCTCTCTGATCCTGAGTCAGCTTAATCTATTGTCTACAGTTACAATGGAATACCTGAGACTGAGTACTTTAGAAGGAAAAGATATTGATTTGCCTCATATTCTAGAGTTGTGAAAGGCCAGCAATATGGTACCTAGAAAGGCCCTTCCTGTTGATTGCTCCCCTGATGGATGATAGAAAAATCTAGTGTCAGGGCCAAACCAAGACAGCAAGAAGGGGCTACTCTCACCCTTGCTTTTGTAATAAATCCACAATCCAAATAACTAGCTGCCACAGTAATAATCATAGTCCATTCATGAATAAAACAGCCATGACTAACTCTTTTTAGGTCCCAACTTCCAAAACTCTTGCATTATATATGATGTTTCTAACATGAAATTTGACGGGCACATTACAACCATAGCAAGCCCTAATTGATTTTCTACTTCAGTTAATGATAACTCTTTTTTCCAGCTGTTCAAGTCAGCAATCTTAGTATCAATACTAGAAAATAATACTGATTTCCTCATCACAATATTTCCTGAATATGACCATTTCATTTTATGCCACTACTGTCATGCTGCTCCAGATTACTATCCAAATATGGCAAGAATCTGTTTGCCAGATTGCTTACCTGCTTGGCTTTTCTCCTCTATTCTCAAAGAGAATAAAGATGATACTTAAAATGTACCCTGGTGTGTTCTTCCTCTTTTCACAACCCTTCAATCTGGTTTTTATAAAATAAATGACTGATATTTCCACACCCTAAATGATGTGTTTCCCTAGAATGTTTCCTCTCACTCACTTCATCCCAGTAACTTTGTCCTCTTTATCACTTTTTTGAAGACATTTGGTAGACTTTTAGTTTAAGCATTCTGCCTGGAATACTTGTGCAAGGTAGCCACATGCTAGCTTAGTTGTCCTGATAACAATTTAAATTCTCAAAGAAATCTCCCATCTTTCCTTTTTACTACAATATCCCATCTCCCACCTCCCCTGTGGTTACAGCAATCCATAATCCAGTTAGACATTTTTTATAGCAGTTACCACTTACCACATATGATCCAGTTTATTAGCTTTATTAGATTTAATTTTCAGTTGTTTACTGTCTTTCTTCAATAATCATAACTACCAGCCATGCATCCCTTGCATATAAGAGCAGGCATTTTTGTTTTACTGTGATATGCTGCAAGTATCTAGAATATCCGGCATATTCCCAACACCCACAAATGT